GCTTGGACTTTTAATTAACCTCACTGGGCGAGGGAGCAGTCTTGGCTTTCTGACACCTGGGGTGTCAGAAGGTAGTGAGTTGACGCTGGTTGGTAAAGCTTGGAAGAGTAAGTCTCCCATGGGTCCGTCAGGCTCTGAGCCTGGGCAGAAAGGGTCCCTGCCCTCCTGCTTCTCCCTCAGCCCTGAGAGGAGTGGATGTGATCATACAAAAGCCTCGGGATAATGTTCATTGTAGCCGCACACAAGGGCAGGAGATTTGCAGAGCCTTTGAGTCATGAATGCAGCAAGACAGAGATGTATAGGAGAGCTATTGAACAGCAGGGAAAGGTGATAAATAATCCTCATGTAAATGAACCCTCAGAATGGGAGAAAATATTTGCAAATGAAGCAACTGACAAAGGATTAATCTCCAAAATTTACAAGCAGCTCATGCAGCTCAATAACAAAAAAAAACCCAATCCAAAAATGGGCATACGACCTAACTAGACATTTCTCCAAAGAAGATATACAGATTGCCAACAAACACATGAAAGAATGCTCAATATCATTAATCATTAGAGAAATGCAAATCAAAGCTACAATGAGATATCATCTCACACCAGTCAGAATGGCCATCATCAAAAAATCTAGAAACAATAAATAAATGCTGGAGAGGGCGTGGAGAAAAGGGAACACTCTTGCACTGCGGGTGGGAATGTGAATTGGTTCAGCCACTATGGAGAACAGTATGGAGGTTCCTTAAAAAACTACAAATAGAACTACCATACGACCCAGCAATCCCACTACTGGGCATATACCCTGAGAAAACCATAATTCAAAAAGAGTCATGTACCAAAATGTTCATTGCAGCTCTATTTACAATAGCCAGGAGACGGAAACAACCTAAGTGTCCATCATCGGATGAATGGATAAAGAAGATGTGGCACATATATACAATGGAATATTACTCAGCCATAAAAAGAAATGAAATGGAGTTATTTGTGGTGAGGTGGATGGATCCGGAGTCTGTCATACAGAGTGAAGTAAGTCAGAAAGAGAAAATCAAATACCGTATGCTAACACATATATATGGAATCTAAGAAAAAAAAAAAGGTCATGAAGAACCTAGGGGTAAGACGGGAATAAAGACACAGACCTACTAGAGAATGGACTTGAGGATATGGGGAGGGGGAAGGGTAAGCTGTGACAAAGTGAGAGAGTGGCGTGGACATATATACACTACCAAACGTAAAATAGATAGCTATTGGGAAGCAGCCGCACAGCACAGGGAGATCAGCTCCGTGCTTTGTGACCACCTAGAGGGGTGGGACAGGGAAGGTGGGAGGGAGAGAGACGCAAGAGGGAAGAGATATAGGAACATATGTATATGTATAACTGATTCACTTTGTTATAAAGCAGAAATTAACACGCCATTGTAAAGCAATTATACTCCAATAAAGATGTTAAATTAAAAAAAAAAAAATGATAGCAGTTAGATGAAAAGCTTTTCGGTTTCCCAACTGTGGAGATGCCCGCCGGCTGATTCCAGGCACACATCTCCCCAGCAGGATGTGCAGACTGGGCTTCACATAGAAGTGTTTTTTCAGCCTCCCCCAGAGACTCTGCTTCCTGAAGGTTCCACCCAGACCTGCCCTGATGTTGGTGTCTGGATGGACCCCTCCCCAACTCCACTTTCCTGAGGAAATGGGACTGTTATTCCATTCCCCACTTCCCTCCCTTATCTGTGAATCTCAGGGAACATGGGGAACTGCTAGGTGCGTGTGCCCTGGGGCAGGTTACTTGACCTCTGTGAGCCTCAGTGCTCTCATCCGTTAATTGGGAGAGAAATTTGTTGGGAGGGTTATATGAGATTTCATGAACGACTAATACATTGCCTGGGACATTGTATCACTCGTTAAATATTCACACCTGCCTCTCCTGTTGCCTCTGTCACCAGCCCCTTTGTCCCATGCTTTGTGACCAGCATCGAGTCATCCAGGTCATCTCAATCCTGGCTTCCCTGCCACCTGGTGGTGTGATCTTGGGCAAATTGCTTAACCTCTCTGAATCAGAACCGTTTCTGGTTCTGTCAAATGGAGCAGAATAAGATAAATCTTGCAGAGCTGTTCTGAGGATCAGATGAGACACTTAGCATCAGCTCCTGGCAGTGTGTGGGACTCGCGTAGGCCCCCCCAAAAAGAAAAAGAGAGCTCTCGTTACTGCTTCTTTATGGGGTGCAGAACCATGCAGGAGTCCGGCAAGATGATGTTGTATGCCTTCTCCTGTGATGTGTCTCTTTGCTCGAGATCATCCCAGAGGACGTTCCAGGGCAGCCAGGGCACAGACGCAGGTGTGAGTACTGGACCTGCAGGAGCAGAGAGCTGCAGGGGCCTGATCACAAAGGGCCTTGATTGCCTAGGGAGGAGGCCCTGGGGAGCCACTCAGGGCTGCGCTCATGAGGTTAAAAAGGTCCCACTGTGCAGCGTTGATTCGAGAGGGACTGGAGGCAGGAAGCCAGGGAGGAGGCTGCCAGAGTGGTCCAGGTCAGAGGGACCGCTTCTGTCCTAGGGATGTGTTTGGGGGGAACAAAATCGAGGGGCAAGCCTGATTGAGCCGCAGGAAGGAAAGCCTCTCTGGTCATTCTGGATGCCTCCGTTCAAGGATGTGATGGTCCCTAAACCAGCCTTAGGAATGACCCCAGATGTGCCACCCTGAGCAGGGGTGAGAGACCTCTGCTGGGCAGAGCCTTCCATTCCAAAGCCAACGGCCAGGAGCCCATGCTGGAATGACGGGTGGCAGTGGTAGGGGTTACCCCTCCTTTTCCATTAATATGGAGCTCGCCCCTTGGGGGGCTTCCTTCCTTGCCGCCTTCCTGGCCCAGGAGGCCAGCAGTCACTGTGGTCTCTGGGTTGCTCCCCTTCCCCCCGCTCCTTACTGTCCCTCCCCACCTGGCAGAGCTCCACCTGGAAGGGAACTTCCTGCACAGCCTCCCCAACGAGGTCAGCACCCTACAGCACCTCAAGGCCATCGACCTGTCCCGGAACCAGTTCCATGACTTCCCCGAGCAGCTCACCACCCTGCCTGCGCTGGAGACCATCAGTCTGGAGGAGAACGAGATCGTGGGTGAGTGGACCCAGCCCACCAGGCCCCTCGCCGCCCTCTGCGTACAGAGCCTCCCCTGAGCTCCCTTTCCCGAGTGAGGCTCACAGAGCCTCACAGGGCGCAAGGCATGGGCCTCTGGGCTCAGAGTTTCATAGACAGGAGCACAAGGTTGGGCTTTCTGGTCTGAGATTCCCGAGTACAGGGCACTGAGCCTCGGAAGGGAACCATTACGAGGCCCTGCCACCTGCCGGGGGCCAGGTCAGACACTTGCTTTCACCTGGCAGGTGGAAGGTCTTGGCTTTCCCCAAGCGAGCCCTGAACTGGCTGGGCCACCTTGGGCCACAGGCGCTCCCTCTCGCGTCTCTGTCTGCCGGCCTCAGGTGCCTCTGCGACCCCTCAGCTGGGACCCTCTATGCATTGACTCCTGGCAGAGTCCCAGGCTCTCCCTCGCTGGCGTCACAGTGAGCTCTTTGCCATTATTAAGCAGGAGCCACTAGGCAGAGGTGTTCAGAACAGTGTCTCTGTGCCTTCCAGTACAGATACGCTCCCCCCAGGGAACCAGAGAGTCTTCCCGTCTGGGTTGGAGATGTGCCTCCTGCAGATAGCAGATCCTAGCGAGCTGGGTTCCTCTGAGGTGGAGGAGGGGTCCGTCTCTTCCTTTTGTAGCAGTTACATACCTGCCGGGTCTCATCAGGACCTGAGCACCTCCCCAGCTGCTGTCTCACCTCCCCAGAGAGAGCCTGGCACTCACAGGGTCCTTTTGCGTTCCTCCTCGGCCCCTCCTGCGGCTGCCTCGGTGGGCTCTGGAAGCCCATCTCCAGCCCCATTGCTTCTTCTCTCACTATACCTCTAATGTTGATGGTTAATGATAACCCCCTTCAGTTATGCTTTTATTTTCGTAAGCTCTTTCACAGCCACTTTGCCATTTGATTAAAAGGAAGAGGTCTCTGGTGGTTTGGAGCTGCTCGATGAAGAGCAGCCTGCCTTGTGCGCCGGCGAGCGTCCCTTCTATCAGGGCTGCTGCCTGCAGGGCCTGGGCCCTGGCCCTGGCTGAGTGGGAGGTGGGACCAGCTAAGTTCTGAATGTCTGGGTCCATCCTTTTAGAGATGAGTAAACTGAGGCTCAGAGAGGTTATGAGAGAGCATCGGGTGGCACAGTAAGACCACAGAAGCGCCAGGATAAGGATACATGATTCTAAAACTCAGCCCTGTGCCTGGAGTGGGGTTCCCTTGCCTGGCCTCTGGGAAGGCCCTGGGGGTGGGCTCTGGGTCAGTCTTGCCTCCCAAGACCAGGATCACTGAGTGGCTGGCCCGTGCGTTGGCTCCCCTGGTCACTTGGGCCCTTGTTCTGTCTTTAAGCGGAAGGAGCATGCCCAGAGGCGCCTTTTCACTGCACAGTTCTTCCTCCTGTGCTGTCCTGACCACCCGGGGTCTCGCCCTGAGCTCTTCACTCTCAGCCAGGCTCTCCTTGCTGGGCCCTTCCTCCTCCGCCTCTTGTTCTTTGAGGCCATTCCTGACGCCTCCACCTCCTTCTGCTGCTTATGTAAATGCGGCGGCAACCAGGCAGGGGCTACTTCAGGCTGATACCAAGACCAGAGCTGGATGGGTAGCTTCAGGCAGGCAGGTCAGGACAAGTACTGGCCATTGGCTTCCCCACTTCCTAACTGCAGCTTTGAAAGACTCACAGCCCCTCTCTGAGCTTCAGCTCTTCTCAGCTTTCAAATGGAGTTTCTCCCCACCACCCCCAACCCCCCACCCCAGAAGGTGGCTTCCCCGCGCCCCCAGCCGGAGAACTGGCTGAGTGGTCTGTGCTGGCTGCAGTACAAGAAAAAGTGGGAAGTGCAGGGTGGCACAGATTCCCTAATCTTTCCCCTCCTGCAAGGCTGACCACATTCCTTAGCAGCAACAGCTCCCAGAGCAAAGATCTTCTTTTGTCCACGTATCTCTAACTTTCTCCAGAGTGACAGTAATAACTCTACACATGGAAGCATCTTACAGCTTACAAAGAGTGCTCGTGTGCACGCCCAAGGCAACAGGGTGACCATCCCATTTAATAGATGTAGAGACTGAGGCACTAAGACATTCCCCCGGCCTTCATGGTCAAGTGTCTGTTGCACACCTGGCCAGGTAAAAGAGACATCAGCCACTGGGCTGTGTGTCCCAGTCAGTTCAGTCTGTGACAGAGCCCCCTGCTGCCCAGCCTGGGCCAGGCCTGGGGGACATGGAGATGTCGGGGACTGCCCCTGCCTTCTAGTTTTCCCCAGGTGTCCAGTGGCTCCTCGAGGTGCTTGGCTGATTCCAGGGCCTGCTCCATTGCGGGATGCCTGGGCGTCCTCCCCCAGCCAGGTGGAAAGAGGGGCACACGGTGGCAGCTATGGTTCCCTTGCAGGAGGGCCCTCACTTTTATTTTCTACCTGTCTCCAGTCCATCCTAGTTAACTACTTGGATGGCTTTCTAACTCCCAAACCAGCGGAAGGCCAGGCCACAGCCTTCGCAGCCCAATTGGAGGGAAGAGAGCCGTAATCACAGTGAAGAAGATGAGGGCTGAAAAGTCCTACATTATGGAAATAGCTTTGCACTTGTCACCAGCTGTAGCCGACCTCCTGCAGGAGCTCGTGGGGATAATTGTAGTTGGAGCTTAGGATGCCTTAAGAATGGCTTATTTTTCCCCTTTAGAGCGCTCAGAGAGGATTGGAAAATTTTTTTTAAAAATCGTTTTTTAAAGAAATAAATTGGAGATGCATGGGTTGCCTTAAAGCTTTAGTTCAGTAAGTAGAGAACAAGCAGCTCTGAAGCAAGCCCCCAGGTGCATCCGAAGGAGCCTCTGAAGGGACCTCCTCAATAGATGCCTCCAGCAAGGCCTCAGGGAGGCCTGGAAGTTGCCAGGGGCGGCAGCATCTTGTTTCTGAACAGTGCCGCTGCCCAGTCTTCCTCCACTCTCTGGACCACGATGCGGGGAGAGGAGAGAGGGCTCCGGTCCATGGACGGGAGAAGGCACAGGACCTCATCAGGGTATGCAGGCTGGGAGAGAGGCAGGGACACTGCCCTCTGTTTTTTGGTCCAGCCGCTGGTGGGCAGGGCGGGGAGGGTGCCTGTTCTTGGTGCTCACCAGTAGCCGAATGCCCTCAGGTCGAGGATCTGGGTTAGCATGTGGCGGCCTCGTTGCTGCCGCCTTGTATGGACAGTCCTCCAGTCCGTGTGTGTGATGTGGCCTCCCTGTGCTCTCATCTCTGGAGCCACCCTGCTCCCTACCCCCACCCAATGTGAGCATGGTGTCCGCATACAGCGGGCGCGCAGTTGGTTGGGAGCACAGTACAGAGCAGGAATTCCAAAGGCTCCAAGGCCCTCCGAAATGACTGACACATAATAGGGCAGATTGTTTTGAATTGCCAGCTATGACCCACTAATAAGTTGTGAAACCAGCATGTGCTGGAGTACATCACCTGTAGCATGGTACATACTGCTTTGTGACTTTTTATTTTAGTTTTGCTATGTACCCGCACAGATATAGGTACTGGGTCATGCTGTAAAATGGTTGTTGTTTTTTTTTTCTTTTTTCTTTTGGCCTCGCCACGCAGCTTGTGGGATCTTAGTTCCATGATCAGGGATCAAACCCACACCCCCGGCAGTGAAAGCGCGGAGTCCTAACCACGGGACCGCCAGGGAATTCCTAAAATGAATTTCTTACAGTGAGTCATGATGGAAAAATATTGAAAGCCGCTTCCATGAGTTGTCCCGCAGAGATTTGGGGTCTGTGCTCAGCCAGCCAGCTCCTTGTCCTTCAGCTCTCACCCCTCAACTACGCCACACTCTTCCCTCCTCTCATCTCCACCCGCGTCTCTGTCCATCATGGTCGCCACCACTGCATCCTCAGGGTGACTGGATGGTGAGGGTGTCGTGAGGATGGGCAGTGATGCCTCGGCTAAGGGGATGAGCTCTCCTCTCACCCGAGTGTGGAGCCAGGTAGATGGCAGGTCCAATGCCATCTGACTCTTTATCTCCACCCCAGCCCACCCCAGCCACCCTGCACGGCCAAGCTCTCAGTCCAGAAGTCCTGCCTCATGTCTTACCATTTTCTCTGCCTTTGTCCTGAGCCCCTGAGTCTGTAGGTCTGGGCCTGGTACAGATGAACAGGAAGTGGGGCAGGTCACAGGCCTCTCCTCCACGCCCCCAAGCTGGGCCCTGGCACACGCACATAGCAAGTGCCCCCATCCAGATGCGAGGCTTCCTGGGTCCTTGGGGGCAAGCCTGCCAGGCACTTCCGAGAGGGAGAAAAGGGTTTGTAGCTTAGAGTATTTATTCTGACAACAGTGACTTACAAGTTTCTGGGATATGGGATGGTCCTTATATTTTCCAAACCAGAAGGAGCCTCTGGTATATGGAAGCTTCTGAGTGTGTATAAACAAGACTGCTTGGGGAGAGAGAATCTCTGCAGAAATAGGGGCGACAGAGGTGAATGAGATGCAGGTCCTGCCCTTAAGCTGCGTACAGGCTGTAGGGAAAGTCTGAG